ATTTAATTGTCCCCATACATCTTTGTTATTATTCCATCAAATAGCAGCCATCATAAAACTGTCACACACACACATGCACCCATACACAGTTACCATTATAACTACATATTTTAATATATATTTGAACGGGGCTTATATAAATATCACAATTTTAGCCTAATTGGTTTTTCTGAGAGATGAAAAAAGCAACAACAACTAGAAAAAAAAATAAAATTACCATAAAGCAAATAATTTTAATTTTCCGCAACTCTGGCATGCACCTCTAGTCACGAACACATGTATAAACCTCTAACGCCAGCCAGCCACGAACACACATATACACCTATGTGCAGACAAGTGCATTTTTTTATTATATGAAGGAAATCGAGGTAAATATTAATTTTGTTATTCTCTTCTCATCCACACACTCGGTCTAATCGAACGTCTTCGACCAACCGCATGGAAACTTCTGAAGAAGAAATCCGCTCGAATCCGGTGATGCCAGCAAAAACACGTTGGTGTTGTGATGTGTGAAATTGATGAAGAAAATCCATTAATTTTCTCACCTTATCGTCGTTAAATGTTCTTCAGAGATTGGTTAGCATGGCAGCAGCATGTTGTTGGCTGGCTAAACTAGACTTGGTAGTCGATATCATAACCTGCCACAATTTATATAAAATTGGATAGATAAGGGAAATTAGTGAGCTAATGCTGGTGCTGTAAATGTATTAAGTTCGATGACACTTTTATGTGAAATCTTTAAGATAAATGCGAAATTTAGTTTTAAGTACCATTTTCATATTCGTCACCACACTGTGGTACAGGATATTATATCTTTGTGCATTTGTTTGTAACATGTATGTCCATTCGTCCATGTATATTTGAAAGCAAATTACAAGTCATATTTTTTATTCGATTGAGAAGAACCAATTTTGTGGTCCGAGGACGAACACTATTTGGGATAATTGGTCCAAATTTAGATATATCTCCTATAAATATCTTTGTCCGATGTGTATTTAGTTGTACACCATTACCATACGATTTCACGTTTATTGTGCACCAATTAATAAATGCTAAATTTGGATGGATGTTTATACCCTCCTCCTATGGAGGGTATATTAACTTTGTCATTCAGTCTGTAACTCCTCGAAACACTCATGTCAAATCCAACAAAGTATATATTCTTGATCAGCGTAAAATTCTAAATCGATTTAGCGATGTCCGTCTATCTGTCTGTTGTATCCACGCTATATTTAGAACGAATTGAGATAGAAGGCTAAAATTTTTCACACATGTGTATTTTGGCAGTAGGAAAGGAGCAATGTCGGTCCACGTTTTTTTGATAATTCTGATTCTGAGATTCAGTATTTTGGTGATTCTGTAACGGAATTGTTTCAAATTTTATAATAAAAAATTTCGTAATGGGTACTAGAGCCTATAACAAAAAAAAAAAAAAAAACGCGTATGCAAGTCCAAGTATTTTCTACGGATATTTAAAAAATGTTCAAGTTCCTTAAAAAAATAGGCTCAAGAAGGCTCAGGAGGAACCTCATTTGGTAACCATTCTTGGGTGGCGGGTGCTGAGTGCGATGGTGCTGAGTCCTGTTGGAATGTCCCAGGTATGAGGCCAAAATGTTTGCGTTCCCAAGGCTTTGATACACCCTCCAGAATATTTTCGCGACAATATTTGGCATTTATTCTGATGCCATGGTCGATTAATACGAACGGAGAGCGACCATCGGCTATTACGGTGGCTCATACCATCACCATCACCGCTTGAGTTCTGGCTGTCAACCGAAGGTGCACATTTTCAGCTGACCTCTTTGGCAAGTAAACACGATCGTTTTGTTTGTTTACAAACTGCTGGACAACGAATGTTTTCTCTTCGGCAGTTCACCACTTTTGGCCAAGCGAAGCAACTCTTGCTCTTTTGTGTCTATTTTCTTTCTGTTGCCGTGTAAGTCTAGCACTTTTTTGAATATCAATGGTTTTACCCCGAGCTCATTTTTAAATATTTGCCGAATGGAACATATTGCGATATGTTCAGCTCACGAGCCATTTCTTTTTTTTTGCCACTGCGATGCCGGTTTCGATCAAGTCGCTTCTTTGCTTTTCGAACCACTTCTGCTGATGTTGCTGTTTTCTTCCGTCCACTTCCTTGTGGGAAGTGGAGCTACGCTACAAGTATCATGGTAACGAACGATGGAACGAGACACAAAAGATTTGTTCACATTTAAATGCTGGAGTGCTCTAACGATAGCCACTTCCGATTTTCCAGCCTAATATAAAGACATTACACTTTCACGCTTGAATTCCATCACGAATAACATTTTTTTTTTTTTTGGAAAATTCTCACCAAATTGCTTTTGTACGCTTTTAAATATATAATGAGCTGTCACTGAAATAATTTTAACAGCTGTCGGACGAGTGGCTTAGAAATGACAGGCGTTTGAAGTTGGAGTCTGAAGTTGCAGTTTTTTCATCTCGCCCTGTACTTTTCATCAAATTTTATATTTAAGTCGTCTAAACTCTTAATATACACACCATAACAATATCCTACAAGATCCTAAAAACACATTTGCCTAATTCAGCGGAGATCGGTTCGGATTAGTATGCACACATATATCCTTGTTCGATTTTAAGAGTATTATGCACCAAATGTGTAATATAAGTCAAAATAGGATGGATTACTCTCATAAAATGTGACAAAATGAATCTTTATTTTCGACAAATGTTAGGTCATGTGAAGATGGTACATATCGGTCCATTATTTTTGGTACTTTTCCCGCAAAAAGTTGAAAATTTGAAAATGAATAATTTTTTATCAATCTTGTGAAGAATTTGAATTTTGGGTCTACTTTTCCTGAACGAAGGGCATCTATTCTGCATAGTCATAGTTCGAATAAAATTTGAAATAAGTTCTCACTTTATTCCACAATAGGTTTCGCTTTTCTTTAAAAAAATGTTTATAGAGTTTTTGAAATCGCCGTGTGGCCTATAAACATATCACCTTTCTCTGTACCATCCATTAAATGTATTTCGAATTTGGTTTCATACAATATGTCTGCTGAAGTATTTTCCAAGACCAACCTCTTCGGATATGTTTATGTGACCTAATTCCAAAATTTCATAGAAATGGCGAAGAAAACGAAACATTTTTTTGAGAATTGAAAATAGCCGTATTTAATACGGGGAATTGGAGCTGTAAATGGGTTAATACCGCTTGGAGAGGTTTGTGGGACCACCAGGCACAATTTTCACATAAATAACCATTCTCCTTTTTTGTTGTCGTTTTTTTTTTTTTTTTTTTTTTTTGAAATGGGTACCTTTCCTGCATATTTTGAAATATATTTTTTTGTTGTTATTGTCGTTGTTGTTTTGTATTTATAATTAGCCTGGAACCATTTTGCACAATTTGCTGGAAGGCTTTTATAGAACAGACCTAAGTTCCTTTTGTGTCGGTGAGAGTGTATGCTTGTGTGTGTGTGTGGGTATGGACCACGCATACATTCGTAAAAGTGTACATACGTAGCAAAGTTGTATTGTGCGGTATGGTGGTCCGTTTCCATACATATATATTTATTTGTATGTAGTGAAGGTGTGCTTGGGTGTGTGTTAGTGTGTTTGGGTGAGTATACAATACAGCCAGTATATTATTTTCAAAGTTGAAATCCATCACTGGTGCAGTGCCGGCGGCTGTGTTTTGTATGAAATATTATAATTATGAGCGATGAGACCCTGGGGTCGCTTAGCATGGACCGACCAACCAACCAACCACTCTACGAGTCAGCCAGCGAACCAACCAACCATGCAATAGTTATAGAAAGAGGTTTCATTTCGTTCGTTTTGTTATTCGTATTGTGTGTTTTTGTTTTTGTTGTTATTATTGTTATATTCAAACAACCAGACACACATACCAACACACCGAATACACTTGGACTAGCAATACGCCAAGTTAACTCTAAGCAAAACTAAAGTTAGCTGACTGCAAATTTGTAGCTGGCGGAGGTGGCAGTGATAGTAGCCGTATCTGCCTGCGAAGCAAAAAGCGCGAGAAAAACAAAACATTTTTATAAACACTTCCAACAGCTGTGTGCGGACTTGTGGACACGAAAGTAAATCTACAACAAAAAAAAAAAGCAAATGCACTGCTGCTGAATTGAAATTCATTGAGGATATGGGTGTGTGTGTGGTGTGGCAAAAGTCATTGATGAATTGAGTTGCCCCAAAAAGCAGAAGAATGGGTGGCGAACAGTTGGCGAATTTCATTAAAATCGGCTGTTCCATGGCAAACATTACGCTGGGTTACATTGCAAAGTCTCGTTTTAGTTATTTCATACAAAACGCAAAGAATAAATAAAATTTGCTTGTAATGTGTAAATGTGTCCGCATTACCTGTTCGCCTTTTGTTTTGCTCAAAAATCTTCAGATCTTTGTTTTGTAGTTTTGGCATTTCGTTCGTTCTCCTCATCCACGTTTCTTTTGGCCAAATCTGATGTGCTCTCCATTTGTTCTGACTTTGCTGTTGGTGTTGTTGTTGCTGCTTTCGTTCCTTTTGTTTGTTTTGTACCCTCTCAACAAATTCCATCCTCATAGCTGGAGGCATTTTGGCGTTTGGTTGTATCGGTCGGTCTGTAGTTGGTCGTTGGGATTGTTGCTGTTGCTGTTGTTGTCAGAGAGTTGGTGATAATTTAGATGTTGGCTTCTTGATAGCGGAGAATAACAACAATACACGCAAATCTATCCAAAAGCAACCAATCAGTCAAGCAGGCATGCAATGAGGCGAACAACAGCAACAATAACCAGTGGCCCACACCAACACCACCAACACAACCAAGCAACAGCAAACCTGCCAGCCAGCCAACATCCAACCAACAAATGGTAAACAATCATCCATTCGTTTGAGCGCCAAAAGGTTCAAACATGTTTGGCATCGAACCAGTTGCCGTCACACACAACAATTGAGATGCCACAACAAAAGTGGGCCGGTTCGATGAGTTGTTATCAGTGTCGAGCAGTTTGTCTTAAACCTTCGTGAGTTGTAGTGTTTGCGTTGCGTTGCACGAGGGCAGGATATTCATTCATCAATGGCCATTGCACGTCGCTTGTGAAAGAAATCGGAAAGAAATACGCCTCTCCAAAAAAAGAAGGGTAAGCCAATTTGTTTTAACTAATTGCAGTGGAACAGTGGGTTGTATGCCAAACGACGATAGTTTTCCTACTTTTAATGAGCTTTGGTATTTTTGAAAATATGATCAGTGCAAACAATTGTTAAAAAGTATTGCAGCAAATTTCGATTGCTCTAAGTGAGGATTATTGTTGTTGATAAAAATTATTAAAAAAAAATAAGTTTGGTAGCGAAAGTTTGGAAAGTGTCGATTTTTGTTAAACTAATTTGGATTGATTTTATTAAATCGAATAAAAATTGGGTGGAGTGTTGGGAAATATTTACTCTATATTCCAGGTTAGGGACGAAGAATTAAATATTTTGCAAGAGGAGTATTTAACGTTTTTGAAGATCATGGAAGATTGGCAAAAAGGAAAAGAAGGATCTTTATGTTTTATATAGCAAGATAAATTTTATATGGCGATCGTTTCATCCGGTTACTTCTTCATAGCTTGTCGAATAGCTTCCAATGTAGATTTGTGAACACACTTTTATGTCCTACCAATCTCTGTGAGAGGGACTTATAAGAAATGCATTAAGAAAACTTTTCGCAAAGAGGGAAAATCACAATAAAATTACTTTTCCATGTGAAATATATAAACATTTTAGAAAATTATTTTTTTCCGAAGGGAACCCACACTCCCATCCTGCGTAATTCTCAGCACAGTGGCACAGTTACAGAAAGATCTAATATTTCTACGTATGTTTTGTAACACGGGAATGGAAACCTTATAAACTCACAGAATTAAATCCATACTCCCTGTCTGCCCAAGTATATTTGTATATATTTAAGCAATTGCTCCCTGTCCATTCGTTCTTCCTAAGAAATAAGCCTTTTGTAATTTATAATGATGGCAATATAACTTCCACATATAGCCTCCATCGATATATTTATTGAGAACAGGTGTATATGATATATACGTTCAAAAAAGTCTAAAAGAACACCTATCAAGGCCTGAATATGACTCATATTTTTACCCTTAGCCATATGGCTAGAGAGGCTATATATCATTTGATACGGCCAATACATGCCTAAAAAAGTTTTAGACCCAGGGCTTCTTTGGACCAAAACCGTTTCAGGACATTTGGAATCGATCTAGGGGTGTCCGTCTGCCCTTCTGGCTGCAGCGCACGATGACTCTCGAGGGAGTATCCGATTTAGTCCAAACTTGGTACATCATAATATTATTATCAAACTTAGATCGAGTTCGGAGATGGGCAATAACGGTCCACTCCTTCTGGTACCTCCCCCACAAAAAGTCGAAATTATCAAAAAAAAGTATTTTACTGCACACAAAGAGAAAGGATGATACGATTCTGCTCCAACTTTGCGAATCCTAATATTTTTATCAGTGCTATGTCAGGTGTAAAAAAATTGACAATATTGGTCCACTCTATCAAGTACCTCCCCCCAAAGGGTCCAATTGTCTTCAAATTACACACATTACAACATTGTTATTAACCCAAAGTCAGATGTGAATGTGGAATATACCAGTCCTCTATTTATGGTACCTCCCCCACAAATAGTCAAAATATTGAAAATTCATCAGGCTTATAAAACACGAAATTAACATCCGACTCCATTCAAACTTTGTACATCTCAATATATCCATCAACACAAGATCTGTAACTAAAATGATCGAGATCGGACCATTCCTTCTGTAACCTCACCCTCAAAGGGTCAAAGTTATGAATAATAAAAACTATTATCAAATCCGAAATAAGCATCCAGTTTTCTTAACATTTCACACATCCCATTATTTCTACTAAGACAACATTTTCCGAGAAGATGGAATATATCGGTCCACTCCTTCTAATACCTCCCCCACAAAGTGCCAAAGTTTTGAGTCCATGAAGCTCATAAAATGAAAAATTATCGGATCATTCCATGCAGACTTGGTACATCTCAATATTTCCATCAATACAAGATCTGTTATATAGATGGTAGAGATCGGACTATTTCTTCTGATACCACACCTACATAGGTTTAATATTTAGAAAAACGAAATGCTCAAAGAAACGAAATAAGCATTCAACTCTCTTCAAATTTCACACGTCCCAATAATTTTGCTAACGCGGAATCTATTGTAAATATGACATATATATCTGCAACCCCTTCTGGTACCTTGCCCACAAAAAGTCAAAATTTACAATAAAATAAATTAACTTGCGAAACATTTAGACGATTCTTTACAATTTGCTATATCTAAATATTTCTCTTGACCAGAAATCTGATATGAATATGAAGTTTATCGGAATTTATGATTTCCCATAAAATTGGATATAAGTATTCGATTTCTTTCAAATTTGGCACATACCAATTTTTTTATAGTAAATTATAGGAAGTAGTCGATATAGTAATCTGGAACTTTGTAATGTTTATATAAGTCTTAAGTCAGATACGAATTGATAAATAATGACCTGCTTCGGAGGCTCCCCCATAAATGGTCAACAGTTTGAATAATCATAGCTCAAGGCTGGGGGTATACATCTGAGGGCAAAACAGACTGATACTATTTTACTTGTTTTTCTAAAAGAATTGGTTATAAAACGGCAGGTTTGTGTTTCAGTGGGCAGGAAAGAAACATCCTTTAAGAATGTGGGTCCAAATTGTGGTATAAACCCAATGAAAAGTACCTCCCAATATTCAGCATTCGTATTGGGTAAGGCACAATTTTTAATGGAATTTTATCCGTATTTGAACTCCGCACTAGGTAATACTCTTTCGGCCCAACAATTGTGTACACAGGTCCAGGACCTGGTCTTTCCAATTGCTGAAGGATATTAATTGTTTGGCTACTTTTTATCTGCTTTGATCTGTTCTATTCACTGAGGTAAACAAAAGTAGGTCGTATATCCACCAAAAGCCCAAAATTCCAAATTTTTGAACCTTTTCAATTTGAAATTTTGGTGTTTTAACTAAATTCAACTATTGCACATAATAAAAAAAGTAATTAATTTTAGTTTTTAATTTTTTTGTAACACTTTTATAAAATAAGGGATAAATGAATTTGAAATTCGCGTTCAAGTCGAGGTGACAAATCCCTTATTTTCAACACAAACATAAAGAGTATTACAAGAGTCCTAGGATATTCAAAGAGTCCTCCATCCACTAAAGTGCAAAATTTATATTTTCTTTACAACACTACAAGTTATATATAAATTCAAGACATGTATATATCACATGCATATACATACACTTACCGCTCAAAGACAAAGTGTCATATCTTTCTTTCTTTCTTCGCTTGAAAACGGAACGGAAACTTTCATTCTTGGAATTTTATTGCCTGCAACGAAAACAATGCCTCCGTACTTTGACATGCATGAACTGCAACAAAAACAAGAACAACAACAACAACAACAAATAAGAAAATGTTAATAAATGTATTATGCATAAATGTAGGTACGTAAGTATGTGGCGGATGTGTGTAGTATCTGGACAATATACAATATAACTATAATACAAGAAACCAAACAGAGAGGAAAAAACTGGTCTCCCCCGGGGCAAATTTGCTCAAATATAAAAAAATACTCGAACAAAAAAATATCAACTGTCAGTTTTCAAAAAAACAAAAAAATCTAGCCGCCGGCCATTCGACAACAACATCAACAACAACAAACCCCATTAAAAATTAATTCTCACAAAATGCACAGCAATAAGAACAAGAAGAAGAAGAACGACGACGAATGTACATTGTGGACCGGCCGACCAACCGAACGACCGTCCGATAAAAAACGACATCTCAGAAAAGTTGCAACTCTGAAAATTATGAAGTAAATGTAAAATGTCATGCATTGACAGGTTTCTGGGATGTATTTAAAATATGTTTGACCCCAAACGGCAACAACAACAACATAATCGAGTACTACGTGAACAGCTTCCAAACACACAGAGAAGAATACCAAAAACAACGACACAGCACACGTGAGGTAAATGCAGGGCCAAATGCAGTGGCAGTGCAAAACGAAATCGAATGTTGGGATGAGGCCCTTAGATTTGTTGGAGATTAAAAGAAGATATTGGATGAGGTTATACAGGGTGAGATGAAAAAACTGCAACCAACATCAGACTGCTGTCATTTCGATGCTACTCGTCCGACAGCTGGTTAAATTATTCCAGTGATAGCTCATTATATTGTTCACAAGCGTACAAAAGCATTTTGCTGAGACTTTTCCAGGAAAATAGTTATTCGTGATATAATCCAAGCGTGATTTCTTTATATTTGGCTGGAAAGTCACAAGTGGCTACGGTTAGAGCACTCCAGCATTTTAATGTGAATAAATCATTTGAGTCTTGTACCATCGCTCGTTACCGTGATACTGGTAGCGTAGCTCGACGTCAAGGAAGTGGACGGAAGAAAAGAGCAACATCAGCAGAAATGGTTTGAAAAGTAAAGAAGTGATTTGATCGAAACCCGCGTCGTAGTGGCCGAAAAATGGCTCGTGAGCTGAACATATCGCAATATTCACTTCTGCAAATATTGAAAATGAGCTCGGGGTGAGGTCATTGAAATTCCAAAAAGTGCAAGAACTTACACCGCTTGACCGAAAGTGGTGAACTGCCAAATTTGGTTTTCTCCGATGAGAAAACATTCGTTGTCCAGCAGTTTGTCAACAAAAAAAAAAAAAATATTCGTGTTTACCTGCCAAAGAGGTCAGCTGAAAATGTGCACCTTCGGTTGGCCACCAGAACTCAAGAGCCGGCCATGGTGAGTGTGTGCGACGCCATAACAGCCGATGGTCGCTCCCCGCTCGTTTTAATCGACATCAGAATAAATGCCGAAAATTATCGCGAAAATATTCTGCAGGGTGTATTAAAGCATTGGGTACGCAAACATTTTGGTCGCAGACCTTGTACACTCCACTAGGACTCAGCACCATCGCACTCAGCACGCGTCACCCACGAATGGTTACAAAATGAGGTTACTCACTTTATTTCCAGCGCAAAATGGCCACCATAATCTCCGAATACCAATCCATTTGA